ATCCCTCCATCCAGGATTATATGTATTGGAAAATGGATCATACGTACCTTGAGGTTGTCCAGGAAAACCTTCAGCCATGTTAACTTGTTCAATAGGTTCTTCTTGAAGAGTCGGACACGCATGAGTTTGGTGTCCAACTACCGAGCAAATTCCACATGCTTTTGCAGTTTGCATATTGCCAACTGCTAATTGACGAACAAGAGTAGTTAAACTAGAAATTTGTTGTTCAAGAGCATAAATATTTACCTCATTCACTTGCTTAGACGGTTGGACAAGTCTATTGCTAAACTGTTGAGAATTTGTAGCCGTGTTTGCAATTAGAGTTCTTGCAGCGTCTAGCGTCTTGTCAACTAAAGTACCATCGCTTGCAGCATCAATCATGCTCTTATCAGTAGGAAAAAGTCCTTCATAAAAGTATTGAATGAGTAATTGATCACTAATTTGATGGTGTGGGCAACTCGCACATAGTTTCTTGAAACGCTCCCAATATTCATACAACGACTCTCCATTGTTTTGTCTTATACCACAGATTTCCTTTCTAATGTTGGCCGCCCTTGAAGCTGGGAAATATTTTTCAAGAAACACTGTCTTGAAGTTATTCCATGTCGTGATGTTTCCGGAGGGTAAATAATATAGTCAATCCTTCGCTGAATCTTTCAAAGAAAAGGGGAAGGCTCTCAACTTGATTTGTTCCTCAGTAACCCTGTGGGTTTCATACTGGAACACACCACATGGAATTCCTTTAAGTTCTTGTGCGGATCTTCAACTGCAAGTCCATAAAAAGAAGGCAAAAGATGAATTAACCCAGAGCAGGAAAAGTGATGCATAAAGGTTGCTGATCTAAATTTGGAGCTCCAAGCTCTTTTAAGTACGATTTTGAGTCATGGGTTCTTCTTCTAAATCAGAATTGGTAGAAGATTGGGGATCGGTAGCCAGATCACTAAACTCCAATTTCCTCAAAACTTGTTTCCTCCACCTGCGTAGTTCTTTCAATTTCTGGATCGTACGGCAATATTTCTTGATTAGCAGATCGAGTTATAGGCATAAACTACGAAAGAGATTGCAGTAATTATGTAAAGGTAATGAAAGAAAATAATTCTTTTTTGATTTTTTTTGGGAAAAATTAACGAGAAAAAACTAATAAACAAAAAATAATTAAATAAACACAAAATTAAATAAGCTAGAAAAGCTCATCGACAACGGCGCCAAAATTAGGCGAGCTGTCGTAGGCTCCCAAATTAAAACCTTACAAACGTAGTAGCAGGAGTAAGGGTCGGTCCCATGAGGAGTAACTAATTTAACTTTTGTACTTAAGAAAATGATGGGGGGTTTGGAATATAACAATAATAAAGATTAAATAAAAGATAATTTAAATAATCAAGAAAATTAAATGAACGGATAAAGCTATGAAAATAATATATTGAAAGCACTTATAATAGAAAACCTTGGTTAGTAAGGATCCACCACCAGAATTTAACATTGATCATTGATTCAAAAAGTAATTAATATGCAGTTGAATATTTTTCGTGAAATTATTTCATTTCCGTTTTCCCTTAGTTGTAGGTAACTAAAGCACACGCACTTTAATTACCCTAACTACTAACTAATCTAAGACAAGCGCTATAGATTTAATTTAATAGAAGCAATAGGAACTAGGAAAACCGACAAACTAAATAACACAAGCACAAGCGGTTGCATTTAATTTAGGAAATATTCTACCCGAGACCAATTATCACTAAGCCGTCAATAATTAACATCAATTGCTACTGAATATTAGAATAATTTGTAGCACAACATTAACTAATATAACAAATAATTATATCAAATAAATAAATAACTAGTAAGCCTCCTAGCAATTAAATGATACAACTATCCAAATAATTTAGAAGAATATTTAATACTCAAATGCATAAAAAACATATATAATAAAAATAAATAAATAATCTTACAGCATAATCAATTCCAGGGCTTCAATTTACTAAACCAAGCTAAAGAAATTAGCCAAGAATGAACATTGATAACAACTTTAAAGAATAATTTAGAGGGGAAAAGAATGAATGTTTTACAATAAAAAAACTTCTACTATTTATATACTTCTCAAAATAAACTAAAGCTATTTTCTACCACACATTTTCTATTTTTGCGTGGAGCCACGAAATCGTCCGGAATCTTGGTCAACATTGCCGTCTAAATCTGCGCTGCAAGTTGTGATTTCCTTCACTTATTTTGTACGTGAGCTGCTTAGGGAGAAAACAAACAAATAATTTCTTTTGTTTAATTAGTAAAATAATTAGGTCATGGAGCGCCTCGGTGGACGGTACGAACAGTAACCGCCTGCCCGGTCAATCGATCATCAACCGCAAGCAATCATTCAGAGGAGAGCGGCTGCCCGACAAAGGCAAGAAGCCGTAAAAAGCATGGGAGAGTCATCCGCGCAACCCAGCCAGAATAACACAGAAATGGCCAGTCCATTGGGTTCATAATACACCGCTCTAGACTTACGTAACATCAATAAATACTCACAAATACACGGGATACAACAAATCAAGAAGCCAACAAAAAGCCGTACTAGTGGGCGGTTCGGGCGGGTACTTAAGGTCCTGCCAAAACCCCATGTTTGTACCAGTGGGTGGTTTCGGTGGGACCCAAAGTAACCACCGGAACCCCCGGCGGGAACAAAACTCATACAAACAACAAATATGACTTTGAATAGAAGAAATGACACATCAAACATAAGTATAAACCTAAGATACAAGCTTTAAAATAAGCATAAACACAAGAATATGCTCACATACCACAAGATTATCATGAATACACATTGTATAGTTTAAAATAGGTTTTCATGGACATATGGTTACCTTTTAGCTAGCAAAACACTTCCAAAATCTCCCTAAATCATCCTAGCAAGCCCCATCTCCAAGATCATCTTCAAATATTTAGAAAGGTCACTACAAAAAAACACAGAAATAGCGACAGAATTTTCCGTCGCTAACCGTATAGCGAAGCGACGGATTAGGTTCGTTGCAAAAATCCTCCTCGCTAAAGTTTTGCGACCAAATTTCATTCTGTTGCTAAATTTATCGACGGATTTTTCCATCACTAAACTATAAAAATTCCGTCGCGATTTTCTTTCCGACAACGATTTTGATGAGAAACTTTGCAAGGGAATAGCTACGGAAAACTCCGTCGCTAGATTTAGTAACGGATTTTTCCGTCGCTAATTTATATCTATTTTTTGTAATGGACGTAATTTAACTACAGCTTAGACACGAAAATATCCAAAGCTAAATTTAGCGACAAATATTTATGTCACTATTTCATTGCCTTTTTTTTTTATTATTAGAAGGTAATAGCTACGAATTTGCTACGCTTTTGAATTTTGCTGTATAATGGTGATTTAATCCCAATATTTCACACTTTTGTCAGACTTTATTCAAGTCACATGTTATGAATCCTTAAGAAGTTGTAATGCAGCATGGGAACCAATATACCCAACGCCTCCCGTAACTAAGGGGGGTGTATTCAATCATGACTTTCATAGAGTTTTAAAGACTTTTATGAACTTTAAAAGTTTGGAGGTATTCAATTCAAACTTTTAGAGAATCTTTAAAAGTCAGACGGTATTCAATTAAGATTTTTAAAGAGTCTTTAAAAGTCGTGTGGTATTCGATTAAGACTTTTAAAGAATCTTTAAAAATCATGTGGTATTCAAAAAGTTATGAACTTTTGTAGACTTTTTAATTTTAAGACTTTTGTAGACTTTTCCTTCTCAAATATAAATAGTTGAAATTCAACCATCAACCCCCAAGATTTTAAATTTTCTTTCTAACATCTTTGATTGTTTTCTCTCTTTATTTAAACTCTATTTTTTCTCCTTATTTAAACTCAATAAACCTATCTAAATTTAATAAATAAATAAAAATTCTTCATTATCCTATATTTTCCTCATACCTAAACTCTACCAATTTTTCTCTCTCTCTCTCCTCAACTTTAGAATCTTCATCTAAAAATTCGAAATCATATTATTTTTACTTCATTATTGCTTGTTTATATAGATTTTTATTTTTTTCTATGAAATTTTTTATCCCTAACTTTCTCTAATTCTCCCTAAATACACGCACAAAGCAAATTTTTCATTGTAAAATTTTAGTATATGTTTCATAATATTCATATAAATACTTATATATTTTAAATTTTATTATTTTTATGTTTATATTCGTAATATATATTTTTCCTTTTTTTAACAAGTTACTACGAATAGCGAATTACTGTTCGCAACAACAATTTGGGGTTGCAAACAATAGCACCTTGTTGTTTGCAGTCTCAAATTGCTATTGCAAATAATAGTTCTTTGCTTGATACCTAGCAATATATCAAGTATAACTTTATATATATTATTAATATTAGATTTTTTTTATTTTATGCAACATATAATTATATTTTTAAATATTTTATTTGATCAAGTCTTTTGTTATAAATTTTATTGTTCAATATTGTTATGAATTTATAATGAAATAGTTTTTTTTTGTTATGTTTATTAATAATATATATAAGTAATTAGCATATAAGTCTCAGCATACTATAGATAAAAAAAAATAATGTTGAGAATGTTGATGTTGGTGAAGAACTATATAATAAGATGAATTTTATGATATATTATAAATGATAAAAACTATATAATAAGAAGAATTTTATGATATATTATAAATGATATGAATCAAAATCATTGGAAGTTTGTAAGAATGTATTCAATTTAGAATTTCAATGACTTTTGTAGACTTTTTAAAATAAAAAGTTGATAAAAGTCTATGAATATTTTTTATACAGACTTTATAGAGTCTTATAATGTTTTATAAAAAGTTTTGAACGACTCTATAAAAGTCAATCAAAGTTTATTAAAATCTATCATTTTAAAAGTCTTTAAAACTCTACAAAAGTTATGATTGAATACACCCCTGTAAGACATGAGTAACACATGGCCAAACTAAGAAACACATGCAGAAACAGAAATTGGAAGGGTCAGTTTAAAATTATAAAAGAATGCATTTGATTTTTACATTTTATATTTTTGTAGAGTTCAGTCCACCGAAGCAACCATGTTAGATCACATGAGAATTGCAGAATTGCTTAGCTTGAATATAAGGACACATAGAGCTGTAAGGACATCAACCATAAGAATTTTCCCCAAAACGTTGCTCCATTTCTTGGGTTCAACATAATCCATACCTACAAATAACAATCAGAATATCTTAGACCTACATGAAGAAGCAAAGTTTATAAACAATTAGAGTAACCACAATACTTTTAACCACCAAAACCTGTTAGACAAGATATTAACTTAATTTATACAATTTGAATACCAAAATCATCCATTTACCACAATAGAAGACTTTCTATAATTTGAGCAGAGACTACTACATATATACAAGAACAAACACCTATATAGCAAGTAGAAAGCTCACCTCCTAAAGACATAGAACTATTAGGCCTTGGCTGTGCTCTAGTTTTGGGCACAAGTTCATAATTAGAGAAGCTCTACAATGCTACAATTATTAAATAATACTATTGGAATATATGATAGCCCCTCCTTCAAGGCTTTAATGCAAGCAGCTATCAATCTGCAAGAAAGATTACATAATTGAGGCTTGATAATGATTGATCATATTACAACAAAAAGGGTAAATGGAAAAAAAAAAAAAAAAAGTGAAAATTTTAACTCAGAGAAATAACAATTGACCCCAAAATGAAAAGCATTACCATAATTTATCAATTCCTAAGATAGCACTGAAACTTCAAAGACAATCCAAAATTCCTAGCAATGGAAAACGACAAAAAATTGAAGAAAAACACAAACTTTAAGGATCCTAATGGCTCCAATTAAGAATCCAAAAGTAATACCACAGAACAGGGTCATTTGATTGAAAACAAAAGTGAAGTTGCAGTGCGGAAATGAAGAAATCCAAACGATCCTGTTACGCAGTTAAAATAAAACGAAAAGAAATTAAAAGGTTCAACTTTAAATTAAAATGAAGATACTCAAGTACTATTTACTGAAACTTCATAGACAATCCAAAATTCCTAGCAATGGAAAACGACAAAAAAATTGAAGAAAAACACAAACTTTCAGGATCCTAATGGCTCCAATTAAGAACCCAAAATTAATACCACAGAACAGGGTCGTTTGATTGAATGTAAACAACAGTGAAGTTGCAGTGCGGAAATGAAGAAATCCAAATGATCCTGTTACGCAGTTAAAAATAAAACGAAAGGAAATTAAAAGATTCAACTTTAAATTACAATGAAGATACTCAAGTAGTATTTACTGACTAGATACTCCAATTCAATCCTTTAAGGACAATAAAAACCAGAAGAGAAGGAACATCTCCTAAGCATATTTTTATATACTCCCCCATGCGGAAAATGGACAAGCTTACTAACACATTTGACATAATGTGGGGAATGTCAAATGTGCCTGCTTATGTTCATATTGCACAAATGACAATTTTGAATGTCTTATAAGAGAAAAAAAAACTAATAAATAAATAGAATTATTACTAACAGTTGAATATTGCTTGCTTGGGCCACTATCGTTTTTGAGCATTGAAGTAGTATTTCAAGATTATCGAATTAAGCCAGTATCCATTACATTGATCTTATAGCTAGATTTACTAAAATACCAAACATCACCCAAGCATATTTTTTGTGGTTATAAGCATTACCTTTATTGTTGTTTTAATAACCATGACCTATAAATGCTATTCTGTTTTGTAAAAAAGATTCCAATTATTCATATAGGGTGTTCTTTATTAATATGACTTTCCTTAAACATGCAATTTTGTAGAGTATAACTTTAGTGTCTATATAGCATCACTAATTTGCATTCAACATGGGTGGATATAATTGCTAAGGGGATAGAAAACAAACCTAAAGGCCCCAAAGAAAAGATAAAAAAACAAAAATTAAAAAGATAAAAACAAAGGGTGCTTTGGATTAAAACTTAAAAATACATGTAAAAACTTTCAAGTATGCACTTTAGTTCTCAAACTGTAAGATTTTCGCCCTTCAGCTCATTGACTTCAACCTGCTCGCTGAATCTTCAATTTCCACATATTTGTGGCTTTAAGCCTTGTTTGCTAGAAACTGTATGTTAGAAAACAAATTGTGTGGCTCAAATTCATTGTATTCCATGAAGACTTTTTCCTGTCATTCCTCCGCGTCCACTGCCCTACATTCTCTCCGAATTGTGCTCTTCTTACACTATTGCCACTTTCTTCTCTAATTTGTAATATATAAATAGCTAGCTTAGCTTTCTAATTAAATGTACCTCTTGCATCAATTATCAATTCATTATCCATCCTTAATTCTTTAGCTTTCCTTACGTAGACAAATATATATATTATTGTTTCAATTCTCTCTTTTGAGATTAATATATATATTTCTATATTCTCCCAATTTAGTATTTTATAATTTCGTCATTTATTATATTTTCCCTATTATTATACTTCTATAATTCTCAATTTTTCGATTCTTCGCTTCCGCATTATTCCGCTATATTCCTAACAAGTGGTATCAAAGCCAGGTTATTTGAGAATTATTTTCAAAGATGTCGACTGTTACCAAGTTCGATATCGAGAAGTTTGACGGGAAAATTAGCTTTTCTATCTGGAAGGTTCAGATGGAAGCCGTTCTAACCCAGAACGGTTTGAAGAAAGCGCTAGCTGGGAAGAAGAAGAAACCGGCTACAATGACAGATGAAGATTGGGAAGATTTGGATGACAAGGCACGTTCAACCATTCTTTTGTGCCTGTCTAAAGAGGTTCTACGTGAGGTATTAAGTGAGACGACTGCGTCAGATTTATGGTTCAAGCTGGATACGTTTTACATGGCCAAAACTCTGGCAAACACGCTACGCCTGAAGGAGCGTCTGTACACAATCCGTATGACGGAAGGTACTTCTATTAAATCTCACTTGGATGAATTTAATTCTATTTTATTGGACTTGGAAAATATTGATGTCATAATTGAAGATGAGGATCGTGCTGTTTTATTGCTTGTCTCTCTCCCTAATTCATACAAGCATTTCAAAGAAATTATGTTGTATGGTAATAGTAGTGATACCCTTACTTTCGACAATGTTAAGTCAAACCCATTATCCAAAGAAAAGTTTGACTTTGAAATTAAGTCTGAGGATAAAGGTGAAGGCTTGACCGTAAGGGGTCGTTCACTTGAATCAGGGAGTAGCAATAAAAATTCTAGATCCAAGTCCAAAAGACGTAAGTCCAACAAATCCTGTAAGTACTGCAAGAAGCATGGTCATGATGTGACTGAATGCTTCAAGTTGAAAAACAAGCAAGAAAGAGAAAATAAGTCCGCTGAAGCTAGTGTTGTTGAAAGTAATTCAGAAGGCGATGTTATGTTATCTGTTACCTCCGGTTGCAAACGGAGCGAAACCGAGTGGATTCTGGACTCTGGTTGTACATTCCACATGTGTCCTCACAAAGACTGGTTCGTCTCTCTGGAACCGGTTGATGGTGATGTTGTCTTGCTGGGTAATGATACCTAATGCAAGGTTAGTGGAATTGGAAGTGTTCAGATTAAAACTCATGATAACGTTATCAGGACTCTTACCAATGTTCGGTATAATCCTGATTTGAAACGCGATCTGATATCGTTGGGTACCTTGGAATCTCTGGGGTGCAAGTACATAGCTGAAGGTGGAGTTTTGAAGGTCATAAAAGGCTCTGTTGTTCTCATGAAAGCTTCCCGTTCCGGAAGCTTGTACGTCTTGCATGGCAGTACTATGACAGGTTCAGTAGCGGTATCCTCATCGATGTCTGATGCGGATCTCACTCAATTATGGCATATGCGTTTGGGGCATATGAGTGAGAAAGACATGCATTTCCTGAGCAAGAAAGGCCTCATTGTTGGTTCAGGTACGGGTAAATTACAATTTTGTGAGCATTGTGTTTTTGGGAAACAAAAGAGGGTTAGTTTCTCTACTGCTACACACCGTACCAAAGATGTTTTGGAATATATACATTCCGATTTATGGGGACCAACTAAATTCCAGTCTATGGGAGGCTGTAGCTATTTTATGTCTATTATTGATGACTTTTCTCGTAAAGTCAGGGTCTATTTCCTGAAACATAAAAATCAGGCATTTTCTATTTTCAAGAAGTGGAAAATACTTGTTGAGACTCAGACAAGTAAAAAAGTCAAGAAGCTCAGGACAGACAATGGTTTGGAGTTCTGTGAGTCAGATTTCAATGACTTTTGTGCGGCAAATGGAATCGCTAGGCACAAGACCTTGCTTGGTAAACCCCAGCAGAATGGTGTTGCCGAACGTTTGAACAGGACTCTAGTGGAAAGAGCTCATTGTATGCTCTCTAATGCTGGGTTATGGAAACGGCGTGATTTTTGGGCCGAGGCCGTTTCTACTGCTTGCTATTTGGTAAATAGATCTCCACATTCATCCCTTGATTTCAAAATTCCAGAGGAAGTTTGGTCAGGTAATCCTGTTGACTACTCTATCTTAAGAGTTTTTGGATGTCCTGCTTATGCTCATTCCAGTACGGGTAAATTGAACCCGAGAGCTGTCAAATGCATTTTCCTTGGTTATGCCTCTGAGTCAAAAGGGTATCGTCTATGGTCTTCTGATTCTCGGAAAATCATTCTGAGTCGAGATATCACTTTTGATGAAAATGCACTACGTTCTTCTGGAAAAGTTCCCAATACAGATGAGACGCAAAGTACTGGTGAGAAGGTGGAGTTTGAGTTCAGGCTTATTGATAGTGTTACTACTGCTGATGGTAATACTAAAGATGATGCATCTACTAGCACCGCACCTCTCGTCCAACCACAACGAGAGTATTCCATTGCTATGGATCGTCCTAGAAGGACAATTAAAAAACCTGCTAGGTATGCTAGTGATGATGAAACCAACATGGTTGCTTATGCACTTTCAGTCACACAGGAAGTTGATGGTGATCCATCCTGCTATTCTGAGGTTCTTCCTGTTGCTAAGTTCAAGTAGTGCTTGAGCTTAGTCGACTGTATCAATTACTAATTCAATAGTGAATTTGATCCAAGGTGAATATTGTTAGAAAACAAATTGTGTGGCTCTAATTCATTGTATTCCATGAAGACTTTTTCCTGTCATTCCTCCGCGTCCACTGCCCTACATTCTCTCCGAATTGTGCTCTTCTTACACTATTGCCACTTTCTTCTCTAATTTGTAATATATAAATAGCTAGCTTAGCTTTCTAATTAAATGTACCTCTTACATCAATTATCAATTCATTATCCATCCTTAATTCTTTAGCTTTCCTTACGTAGACAAATATATATATTATTGTTTCAATTCTCTCTTTTGAGATTAATATATATATTTCTATATTTTCCCAATTTAGTATTTTATTATTTCGTCATTTATTATATTTTTCCTATTATTATACTTCTATAATTCTCAATTTTTCGATTCTTCGCTTCCGCTATATTCCTAACACTGTTATTTGCCCAATTCAATCCAAGTCTTAGCTTATTTTCAGATCTAAATATGTAATACTATAGAGCACCTTGGATTTATAATTTCATTGCATCAAGTTGTTAGGAAATGTTAATTGACAGCAATACATCTCACATACATTCATTGCTCAAGTTCTAATTTATTTTCTCCCATCCAAACACCAATTAATCTTAATGCAACAGTCTTGGTGGCTCTCACCATACACATGTCGTCTGTATGTTTCTAGCACCATCATAGGAAATCAATAATTTGAATTTAAAAATTTCAGAATAGATTACTCTGAATTTTGCAAATATAGTGAAGTAACAACAACTTTCCTATTTTTCTAGTTGCGATCAGAATAACAAAACCCTAACTAAAAGGGAGATGCAATATTCAGAGCAAATGAATTCAGAATCCAAGTTTGCAATTGAATCAGAAGTGGAACTGAAAGACAAACAGAAGATTGGCGACGGAACAGAGATTCATTACCTTGATGATTCTACGGGGAAGATTGCTGTTCGCCATTGAATTGAATCGGAAGTTCCTCTGGGTCGGAGTTTTTACGCTAAGGCTTCTTGTAGAGACAGCTATAGTTTCAGTGCTCCTTCCAACCATATTACCGAGTGAATTCCATTTTTGGTCCTATTGTTATAGGGGCGTTTTCAATTTTAGTCCACTTTAATTTTTTTTGCCACTTTATAACCATTATTATTGAATGTGTTCCACTTTTAGTCCCACCGTTAGTATTTTCATCAAGAGGCCGTGTAGTCTAGGGGCATTTGGACCTTTCTTCTCATCCAAGACTATGTTTGACTAAAGAAATAAGAACATTAAACCTAAAACCTAAGAAAAACTCGCCGGCCCATGTTGGAACGAACGAAACAACGTAGCTTTGGCTTCCCATTCTCGTTCTTCGATGAGCCATCTTCGAATATCGGAGGAGGAAGACGAAGCGCCTGAATTAAAAGAGAAGAGACAAACATAAAAAGACCAAAATACCCTTTGATTATACGGCCTCTTGACGGAAATATTAACGGTGGACTAAAAGTGGAACACATTCAATAACAGTGGTTGTAAAGTGGCAAAAAAAAAATTAAAGTGGACTGAAATTGGAAACGCCCCTATAACAGTAGGACCAAAAATGGAATTCACTCCATATTACCGGACGGAGGGCGTGAGGCGGTGACTGTGAGAGCCGAGAGATGAGTGGAGAAGCCGAAAGTCAAAATAGAGAAGCAGGGACGGAGAGGATGGAGAGACCGGCAGAGGCAGCGCAAATGGTAGAGGCAAAGAGGAGATGAACTGTGAACTAGGGTTAGGAATTTTTTATTACTAACTTTCTGAAAGTTAGCGACCGGTATTAGAATCCGTCGCTATAATTTGTTATTATCATAGCGGCGGATTCTAAAATCTGTCACTAATATGGAAAAAACTCAATTAATCAATTTTGTTTCTAAACTTAGTGACAGATTTGAAAATTCGTCGCTATATAGCGACGGATTCTAAAATCTGTCGTTTAAAATATACAAACAAAAATAACTTGCTTGAATATTTAGCGACGAAATCATAAATTCGTGGCTAATCTGTAGCAATATTTAGCCACAGATTAGCCACAGATTTAGCTACGGATTAGATGACGGAAATATTATGTCGCAATATCCCTCACAAATCTGTCGCTAAATGTTGATTTAACCAAAAAAAAAAAAAAACCGTTGCTAATTTGTCACTATTTCGTCGCTAATTTAGCAACGGATTATGTCCATCGCTAATTCGTCAGTATATAGACATTTTTTTTGTGGTGGGTGAGGAAACTAGGAATGAAAAAGGTCTAGGAACTAAGATCTTACCATTTCTTAGCCCAAAATGCCATAAAGGTGGAATCTTGACTTAGTTTCTTGTGTGGAGAATGAAGAACAAGTTTTAGTAAGGAAGGTAGGGGAAAGTGGCGTGAAAAGGCAAGGGAAAGGAGAAGAAGTCTAGGTTTTTATCTTGCTAGGGAATATAGATACACATTTGGCGCAAATTATGCCCTTGAAACGTGTTCACCATGAATGGTGAACACGGGTCCAAACGGTGTCGATTTTACGGGAAAAAAAAATTTAGTTAATGTGTTGTTAACGGCGCGCGTTTGTTCAGATTATGAATTTTCTGTTATGAGATTATGAATGTACTGTAAATTCATAATCTCATAAAAGAAAATTCATAATTTCATAACTGCACATTAATAAATCCATGCCTGCACATTCATAATTTATGAACGTTGAAGAAGAAAAGTCCTGCGATTAATTAAGAAAAAAAAATAACGGTGCATCGTTACCGTTGGGACCGTGTTCACCATGGATGGTGAACATGGTTCCATGGCATAACGATTGCACATTAGGTTATAAGGATAATATAGATGGGTTCATAATAGTATGTGGGCTTTTTATAAGGATAGTGAATTAGATTGGGCCCTTGTAAAAATAATTGTAAGGAAGATATAGTATATGTTATATGTATATTACTAACAAGACTAGGCCCACTTTATTAACTATTGTAAGGAATTATATATAAAAATATTTAGAAGACTAGGAAATTGGACTTAGAATAATTTATACTAGAAATAATTACGCGAAAGATTTGGCTTTAATGAAAAAAAAATCCCTCATTAGAAAACTAATTATAGGAATTAATTCGGGAATTGAGATAATTTCTGGGTGTCATAGGGATTGAGTTCAAGACAATGGAATACTGAAGGTTATATTAGTAGAGCTCAAAACCCTAAGCACGGAGGGCTGAAATTTTTGGCCAAGAGGGGTTAAATGGGTCATTTCGCGATTAAAAATCTCGGGTTATAATTTTGGGTCAAAAGTTGGGTCAAGTTAGAATAAAAATAGATTTCTAAATTTCTAGTAATAAAATGGGTACATTTATAAGAATATTCTTAGGTCCAAAACAATTGAATCAGTTTTACAGGTTCCACTCAGATTGACTTTTTGGGTTAAAACATGGTACATAAATATACTCAATAAATAGGATTTTAAAAAGTATATGAATATTTGGTGTTCAATTATTTGAAATAAGAAATTTAAAAATATTTAAATCATACACTCATTTGAAAGATTATCGTAGGAGTAAAAATCACTACTACAGAAAACTGTTTTAACGTCGGTTAAAATACCACATTTAACGTCAGTTATCTTTCGACGTCGACTTTAGAGACGTAGTAAGTAAATGATACGACGTCGGTTAAAAAACCGACGTCGTATGTTTTTTTTTTTAAATTAAATTAATTAACATACGACGTCGACTTTTAGGTAAAAGCCGACGTCGTATGTTTTTTTTTTTTTTTTTTTTTTTTTTTTTTTTAAATAAATAACATACGACGTCGGCTTTTGGGTAAAAGCCGACGTCGTATGTTATTTATTATTATTATTTTTTTAAATAATTAACATATGACGTCGGTTTTTACCTAAAAGCCGACGTCGTATGTTTTTTTATTATTTTTTTTAAAAAAATAAATAACGTACGACGTCGGCTTTTACCTAAAAGCCGACGTCGTATGTTAATTAATTAAAATTTTAAAAACTATACGACATCGGTTTTACCCTAAAAGTCGACGTCATATGTTTATATATATATATATATATATATATATATATATATATATATATATATATATATATATATATATATATATATATATATATATATTTATTTATTTATTTTATGATTTCTACCCCAACCTGTATCAATTTTCAGATCCTGCGCAGCTAGCAATTTAACATTCAACATGAACTAATTCATTAAACTAATTCAAACTATTAAACATGAAACTAATATAAAGAACACAATTCATTAAGCTAATTCAAGCTACTAAACATAAAACTAATATAAGTAACACAATTCAACAAAACTACTAAACATCAAGCCAATAAACATAAACTAATTTTAAACGTAAAGTATCAACTAAGAAGCGTTTTATTAACCCATAATCAATAAGAAACTTAGACCATTTGTCTCTAACTTCATCAATCTCTTGTTTGTTGTAGGGCAATCTTCCTTGTCTTTTCAAAGCCTACAAAGTTCAAAAGAAATAAAAATAATTAATAAGTAAGTATTTTTAAACATTTTTAGAAAAAAGATATATTATGAAATTACTTGCCTTAGCCATTGAGCTAAACCCGTGCGGGCATGAGTTTAATTCTCATTCCTAGTGTATAAACCCATAAACTAAACACACCCTAAAATCAAACTAAAATGTCTATTTCAAAGCAAATACAGTGTCATAAATTTAAACAACCCGTGAAAGAAATACATTATATTACTCAATTGCGAAAGTAACACTTCCCGCAATGAACAGATACAACAACATTATTGGATACTGATTTAATTAGACTTCCAATTAACTGTAAGGCCATGATTTTTTTAAAATGTTTTTCTTTTCCACTAAATAAATTTATCCTAAGATTTCATATCTGGAGTTTTGAACAAAAAATAAATATAAACAACCCAACCAAATAGGAAAAGATTTTTATGAATCCTTGGTGCAAGATTGCATCCACCCAAATGGATAAAACATATCCCAGCAGTATCCTTTTATCTTCCCTCCAAATCTGCATTTTTCAATGAATATCTAACACAACCAATAATCACTATACTACAAGAATCTTAGATCATCAATTCTTAATAAATCAATAACAAAACCTTATATAAATAGCAAATAACTTAGAGCAGTAAGAAATTGAAAGCCAGATATATGTTAAACTCTACCTCAACACGAATGTCACATAATGCTTTCAGAATAACCACACGAACAGCAGGATCAAGTGCACTGTATGCATCAATTTCAGCCCTAAAATTTCAGAAATATTCAAAAATAACCAAACTTAATTTGTTAAATAATAAAGACTAAATAGGTTTGAATTTGAACTTGCAATGCATGATCACTCACCCATGTGATGCTATGATAGGTAATTCCCCCTCTGCAACCTGCAATGCATGAAATGAATAAACGGTTAGCACTTCAGATACAGTTTTTCTCAACTTCACTTCTCAGAGCTGCATGTAATAACTTACCCAGTGCCACCAATCTCTTAATTTTCTGCACAAAACAGTTACCCAAGTATTGTATCCAAGTGCCACTCGTGTAGCAGGAGGGATTGCCTATGGAAGTGAAATAAATAAAATAATAAGCATTGCCCGTTAGCAATTTAGCAATGCACAGAAAAGCAGAAGTGTCTATATATCAGTATCCAAAAATATCCAAAACTCAAAGTTACCACCTATCGCTGTGCCTTTAAATGGAAACTTAGTAACAAAACTCATGCATCCATTTTGACATGGTAACATGTCTGTCACCTCCTAAAATCAAATCCCTAAAACATTAAGGTACCAAACTACTAAGTTCAATAATTTCATAGTTGAATAATAGTTGCTTATCAATTACCACAGAGCAATCAAATTATAATTACAACAGTTATTACATAAACACAACAGCAATGCGTAATTAAAGAGAGAATGTCACCTCACCTCCGATCCGGTTATAACTGATAAAGGAAGAAATATTATGGAAAGGAATGAGAGGTAATACAGTCTCCTATTAATTTGGACAGACTGC